AAGACCAAGACAGAAAATTGCTTATTTGAAAAAGCAATATCCAAATGCTTTCATCACTCAAATGTCCTTTTGAAAATATTGTCCATGGTGGTTATTACCTGGACAATGCTGTCAATTTCTGTAGTCTGCAGAAAATTTTCCCTCATATAAAAAAGTAGGACATTGGGCACCTGTCTCAAAAAAAATCAACCAATTTCCCTGCCACCAGATACATTTTTCACCCAGACAACACTTTCATTAAGGAGGAAATAGCAGTCAACAATTCAAAGCCAAACAGAAATCAACTTCACACAAAGAGGAGCCACGAACTTAATGGCTTTCCGGGAAAACAGCTGAGAAAGTTGGAGTAATTCTGGTTCTCCCCTTCTGATACTGAAGGCAGTTTCCCCCAGAAGCTATTACTAGAAGGCCCCACACCACAATAATCCCCCTGAAGTGTGGCAGAAGGACAACCCACCCAAGCGCTTCCTACCACCCAGGGAGCTTTCTTGGTCAATGGATAGTTGAACATTTCAGGAAAATACCTGGGATAGTAACAACTTTTCCTCCCACAGAGCTCTAGAATATGTCTTGGGACTGATGAGTTCTCATGTTAGGCTGCTGGGGTATACTCTTCTTCAAAAATCTAGGTTTAATCCTGTATCAGGAAGGCTGACCCAGGATAGAAAACTCTGGAAATGCAGCAGGGGCGGGGAACTTTTAGTACTGTCTCCAAGAACTGGGCTTAATACAAAACACTGAATAACTGTTAGGTAGTTAATGCACTTTTCTTTTTAGGAATAAACCCAAATTGTAAAATTTTCAGTGGGCAGTGGCTTAATTTTCCAAGGATGTAAAGTGCTCATACCTAATCCAAAGGACAGAGATTGGTGGTCTCTCTCCTGCTGTTTTTCCTCAGCTTCCTCAGTTCTTAACAGCCATCTTCACACTGCTTGAAGTTCACCCAAACGGTCTGGCTTCTAATAGTGTGGAGGTAGTATTCCATGGATTTATTAATCATTCTTTAGTCTCTGTTAAAAATTGGTGTGGAACTCATATTTTAAGGACACTCTAATTTTGAGGGAATAACTGACTCAAAATCTTTTTTAAGGACAATGTTTGGAAAGAATTTTTCAATTCATGCCCATATTGGTTAAAAAAGCAACCAGATTATTAGCGATTTTAATTCCTATCAGAACTAGTGGGGCCCAAATTGGAGAGTGAAGAGCCTCTTCTCATGAGAACAGAACTGTGGATGTGTGACTGACCACAATAACATCATTCAATCCCTTGTCACCTTCCCTGGACTCAATTTCTGAATAACATTTTTGTTGACATGCCCAGGGATTGCTCATTAGACTCAGTTCTCAACTCTGAAAATTGCCATAGGTGAGCCCCCAACAAGACACCTGTGCTTTCTACAGGGAGGTGCTCTCCCTGAGTGCCCTGGCCTATCCTTCAGTTTGATCCACTGAGAATGACCCAATTTAGGACTTCCTTTCTTCAAGACAAGAAACCACATTTTCCTAGTTTATCCAGTGTGTGCTTCAATTCAGTTAAAATGCTATCGTCCTGTTACCCATTCTATCATACTGAAAACATCTGGGAATCAGTCCAGAACTGACAGGAGAATAAAGATTGCAGGATTTTTTTTTTTTTTTTACACAAGTATTGTTATGCCATAGGTTCCTCTCCTGCTGAATTGAGACTTTTAAATAAATCTACAATACACAAAATTCAATGGACAGAAAATTTCCTTGCCTTTATTTTTTTTAATGGTTTCCAATTCCCCTGCTTTTATGGCTGGAGTTAGCCCTGTGGTGATTTTTTAATATGCCAGCTAATATGCTTCAGAAGGTTACTTTGTAGACACATTTCTAATTAACTTCCCTTTGCAGTACTAAATTCGCTTCCAGTTTGAAATAGGACAGACTCATCTCACAACAAACACAAAAACACTCAAAATCCTCAACCTAGAACAGGCATTCAAAGAACTCTGGGCCAAGAAACATACTCTGAGAACATTCACCCAAATACAGGCAGGAGACTGTGGCTTAAGAATAGAGCATTGAATGCTCTCTACAGAGAACTGGTTTTCATTAAAAAAAAAAAAAAATCCACAATTTGGGAATATTTAAGGTATTTGTCAATAAGCAGAAGCACAAATATTTTTGTGTAAGAAATACCTAAACAAATCTTGTTCCCTGGACATAATGTAGCGATCACTCCTTGGAAAACATAACTGGGATTCCAGGGGCTGAAAAGGGAAAGGAAGGTGCACTGTGCTATCAGCTAGAAGGCAACGCATAAACAGAGCACCCTGTCACTTACCTTGTGGTGTGAGCTCATAAAGACATAAAATTACTCATTAAACTCCTTCTTGGCTATGTCAACTCAAGGAGAAAAAAAAAATAAAATAATGGTTTTGCCACCCCTGCCTTCTTGGAGTGTAACTTCAAGCAGCTCCTGATAAACTGCATGCATCTATTGTAGTTTCTGGCAAAGACCTGGGATGTTCTAAGGTACAACTACAAATAAATGATAAATTCAGTTACAGTATGAGGTGTTTTAAAACAGATGGAGAAAGAAGCTTTGACCATTTCTTGGTCCCACTGCCCTAGAGCTTTAATCAAGGCTCTCCACTTCCTTAACTGCCTAGAACCAACCTGTCCTGACTGTCCAATTCACCCTTTTAAGCTTATTTCCATGGTAAAAATCAGCTCTCTGCTCCTCCAGGAAAACATCTTGGAATTCTGTGGGCAAATAACCAGAGGATTACAATCCCTGGAAATACTACTTTGGGTCACAGCCACCAGCCTTTTGTTTTTGTGGTTTCTAATCCCCGACACACAAAACAACTTTAGATCCGAAAGAAAAGGATGGACTTCTAAATCACCTTCTCTATTTTATTGTTCACATTTTGTATTGTTTTGAGTGAGATTGGAAAAATTGTCTCCTTTCTCAGTATTGCCAAAAGGCATTCAGGTAATGAAGTCTGTAACTAAACGGTAATTGAATCAGCATAATTTGCACACTGAATGGTTTTCAAATGCTCCCAGTTTACAATTAAAGGAGAATTAATGCGCTTGTTGTTGAGAACGCAGCGCATTAGAATAAATCCAGCACTGTTGTTGTAATGAGTGGAAAACGGTTTAACTGCCAACAAACACATTTAAAATTTAACACAACGTATTGATTTCACTTCTGCTTTTGATAGATTATTTCACAGACTATCGAAATACTTGCTCCAAGCAATAAACTGCACCACGGTCGGGAGCCTTTGCCGTGTGTGTGAGCACAGTCCAAGGACAATAAGAACAGTCCTGAGGTTCAGGTCATGCGTAAAGGTATGCAGAGGAAAGGGGCAGAAGGTTTTCCATGGTCAAAGGAATCGTTAATATCCCTCCTCTGTAGCTTTCATTTTGCCGTCCCTCCCTTCTTTCAATAAACAATTTCTCTATTTTCTCTGGTCAAACTTTCTGCCCTCGGTCTCTGGGCTCTCAATGTCAGTGGGTTGACTGGACACAGGTGGGGGCAAGAATGATTGAAGATGGTAAATGGGAAGGACAATTTTTGCATTCTGTCTGCGTTCCAGTCTAGGAAAGCACAGACTTCGGTGACAGAGTCAGAAAGGCTGTTCTTTTGGATTGGCTGCCCTGGCTTTCACCTGTTTACCCCAAGGTGTCCTGTGGGCGAGGACACTGACGCGCAGCGCCCTCTGGCGTCCACGGCTGTGATAGGCGATAAAGATGCAAAGACAGGCAACACTGAGGGTTCTTGGATTGAAGCTGAAACCCGTGGAAAGCACACGCCCCACATACATATTCACACACGCGTATACATACACACTCATTAACATACACAGAGTTCACACAACTAGCAGCCCCTCAATCACATGCACCGGGGCAACAGCTGGGAAATGTTCTCAGGTTAGCAACACTTTTGCTCCCAAGCTTGTGGGTTCTGAAACCCTTGGGACTGAGGGACCGCACCGACCCCCCCATCCCCCGCCCCATCCCGTTTATCCAGCCCCGTCGGAGAGCTCAGGCCGCCCCAGCGCTCCTCGCCCCTAGTCAGAACTCACTAAGCCCTCTGTGTGCTCTTGTGAAATAAGCTATGGGGAGTCGGTGCACAGAGCACAACTTTACCAGCAGGGTGCGAGTGTCCCTGGCCCTCCCTGTAGCCAGATAGGAGAAACTGCTCCCTCCGTCTTGGCTCCACGCGGTGCCCACCTCTACCAATTCACCTCCACCCCAGTTCCAACTGTGTGCAAAATCCGGACCCCTGAAACTCCATTCCAGAAAGACACGGCAGCGGCTGGCTCTGTTTAGTATTCCCTTCCTGACCACAAGGTCCGCCATTCCCTAGTAAGGGGATCGGCGCTGGAACTGGGGTTCAGTTATTTGGTGGAAAGGAGAGCTAGGGAGGAGAGCCACTACTTGTTTTGCTAGGGCACCCCTGACTTAACTCTTTCTGATCTGATCGCTTGTGGTGCTCCTATCTGATTAACTTGTCCTGTGTGAACCCTACGAGTCGAACAAAGTTACCTGTACTTCTTTACGTGCCATATCTCCAAACTGGGGGACTAGGTGGGTGGATTCACTTTCAAAGTCACAGACCTGGGCAGATTCGTGCTCCGCACTCTCTACCTCCATTTCCTTTCGTTTAAACTCTGTGGATGAACTAATGAGAGTTCCATGTCTTACACCCTTTCTCTCTGTCCTGTCTCCCCATAAAGCATCCCGTCCCACTATCTCCTCTGTTTCTGGGGGTCTAGGGCACCCTATACAATGTTCGGAATTACGCGCAGGAGAGAGAGGACCGGAGCAAGAAATGAGGGTGGGAACCCTGGAAAATCCCGCAGGGATCCAGACACCAGCTTGCCAAAGTTGTTCCAACACGGTCGCTAGGAACGCTGCTCTCGCTGAACTGGCAGTCTCACCCTCCTCCCGCGCGCCCCTGGGTGTCTGGCCTCGCGACCACGGTGGGATTGCGGGGGCGCCGGATCCGCAGCGACTTACCAAGTAGACGGTGGGCTGCAGGAGGAGAAGCACGTACCAGCACGCAGCCTGCATCCTCCCGCGTCTCAAACTTCCTCGGCGGTGCTTTCGCTGAGTCTTTGTTCCTTCAAAAACATAGATCCACCTGACATCCACTTTACAGAGCAAGGAGCGCTCTCAGCAGCCTAGATACAAATGAAATTAGACATCCCATGACCACGCGGGCAAGGTTAGGCTTGGCAACCAAGCGGGGAAAGGGGGTCGTGGAAGGGAGGGGTGGACCAAACACCCGAAGTGGGTAGGGGCAGGAAAAATTGAAAAGCAAGTAAATCCAGCGCCTGAAAGCAGCGAGCGCGCGGTCCGCAGGCAGGCGGGCAGGAGGGTAGGAGGATGAAGGGCTCCTTGCGCCCTGCGCTCCTCGGGTGCGTGTTCCCCGGCGGTGAAGACAGGAGGTGGCGGGGCTCACAGAGCCGCGTGCAAGCTGGTTCGGAGCCCAAACGTCTTTGGCAGCGAGACCTGCCCTAGTGTTTGATGGCCAGGCGGCTCGGACTTAAAGGCGGCGGCTGGTTCTTCGCCAGCCCTGGCAGGGCTCACACACGTACACACCAGCAGAGAGATGGAGAGAGAAAGAGAGAGAGAAAGCGAGCTAGAGAGACTGGGGCGGGCCGGGGGGGGGGGGGGCGGGTGGCACGGGAAGAGGAAGGGGTAGGTAGAGCTGACCAGGATTAGGTGCTGGGTATCTTCACCCGTTCGGTGGAGTGGGGGTGGGGAAAAGGAATGCAATTTGCATACAGTAAAGCCGGGCTCAGTTTACCCATTCGAGCCCCCTGCACAAAGAGAGATACACGCGCATACAAGCACATCTTTGCCACTACTTTTTTATTTCGAGCCAAGGGACACAGTCCATCGCTAACTTCTAGAGTGGGAGCCTGCCCCGGTCTGTGAGGTCACCCGCCAGGCGCACTCTGTCCCCCAACCAGTGGCCTGCCCGCCGCCCCTCTCTGTTGTCCCACCATCCCGCCCCAAAATACCCTCTCCGGGACTGTGGAGGCGAAGTGTACGTACCGCACAGGACTGGGGGCGAATTCGGCGAGCAGGGACCGCTCTGGGCAGGCTCCATGGAGGAGCTACTCGGGCCTGGGGTCTCCGGCGCCCCGGACATGCCCTCCCTGGCGCTTCATCTCCATGCTCAGGCGCGGACCGGTCCCGCTGCCTCGTTCAGCCTCGGCGGAGTCCGCGTCTCAGTGCCCGGGTGGCGCTCAGGCTTGGTTCCGTGGGAGCCTAGGCTCGGCACAGTTTGATTCACGGTGCAGGAAACTTAAGAGGCAAGAGAGGGAGGGGGAAGCAGAGGAGAAAAGAGAGGAAGAGAGAAAGGGAGGGAGTGAGAGAGGGAGGGAGAAGCGAATGTGCCGGACAGACTGGGACTGCCAGCGCAGGCTCTGGGACGCGCAGCCCCGGGGCTCCTTGCCTTCCCAAGCTGCCAAAGGATGGTGGCAATGACTTAAGGGGAGGAGACTGGACTTGAACTCGAGAGAGGAACACTGGCCTTTCGGAAGAAAAGAGCCACACGGCGGGCGCAAACGGTCCGAGTTTCTGAGGGAGGGGTGAGGTGGCAAGACCTGAAGGCTCCCGGCGCACCGAGTAGCTGCACGTCTACCGCGACACTGGGAAGCCAAGGAACCACTCCAGAGCCGAGTCGCAGGCCCAGTGCACGGTCCTGCCCGGCCACTGGGGGACGCTCTGGAGCGCGCTGGGGTTCGGGGCGCCGACGAAGCCGTTCTTTCTCCGTAGGTCCGCAGCTCGCGGCGCCTACCTTCCCGACACTGGCAATTACATTGGCGAGTGGGTCAACGATTCCTCAGAGACTAATTAACACCCCGAGTAAATAGATCCCGCTCCCAGGCTCTCGGAGGGCCGGACTCGCAGGGAGAAGTGGCTCCTACGGTGTCTCTGGTGGCCCCAGCGCCCAGTCCCCGGGGGGCGTGAGGAGAACTGCGACAGCCAGAGGAGTAACCGGGAGCGTGGTGGGGCGGTGCGTAGGGCAGGAACGGGAGCAGGCGGGTGCAGGTCCCCCCAGCCCGCCTCGGGCGCCGACGCGGGGCACCACCGACCTGTGGCTGCGGGGCGCGATGCGGGGGCGCTGCGGACCGCCAGCCATTCAGCGCGCGACAGCTGAGAGGACTGGGCGACCTTGCGCGTTCGACTCCTCGCCGAGGGCTGGGCGAGTGAGAGGAAGAGTGGGGTGGAGGGGGGACTCCGGTGGATGCCTTGAGCCTTCGCCACCTCCCTCGTTCCTGACACCTCCTACCAACCAGCGTCTCCCACTCTCGGCCTCTTCTCTCTGACTTTCGCTGTCTTTCTCCCTTTCTCCCTTGCTGTCTCTCTTTTCGGTATCGTCTTTTTATCTCCTTTCTCTTTCTTGTGCTCTGTGCCTGTCCTTCGGCCGCATCTTTCTACCTTTCTGTCTCTTTCAGGATTTCTGACTCTCTCCATGTCTGTATTTCTCTGTCTTTACCTCACCCCGCCATTTCCTCTCAAACCTTGCCCTTTTCTTCTTCCCTTCACTCTCTCCAGTGCGCAACCCTCAGGCCAGCGTCGCCCATACCCGGGGTGAAATCCCAGGGCCAGGCCGCCAGCACCTCCTCACGGTGCCCAGACTCAGTCCACAAGTGTGAGCAAGGCAAAAAGCACTCTTCTTCCCCCCACTTCCCTGGTTACCTCTCCCAGCCCTGCTTCACCAGAGCTTGACCTGGAATGATGCCCTCTGCACAGTGAAGGCTCCATAATCAACCATCTGTAAGAGTTGGGCTGAAATTTATCTCAGGACCTCTAGTTGATGGCATCAAAATAGAATCGTGATTGTTTAATGAGTCTTGGGGAGTCCTTTCCTCCAGGGTGGCTATTGGACACCTCATGTTCCACCCTTTCCAGCTGGTTGGGGGCCAAGACACAATAGGTCCTGGAGGACTACAGGTTGAGTTCCCCTGGAGAAGCTGCTAACCAACCCCCAACCAACCCCTAACACTGCCAATCAGCAGAACCACCCTTTTCTGCAGCAAAGGCAGAAAGAGCCCCATTGAGACCTTCCTCTGGAATCAGACCTCCAATTTAGATCCCCACTGGAGGACATACTGCCAGGCACTTTGAGGCCTACACTTTCCTTTCCAGCTAAAAATAGCTATTTAAAGAGCAAACTCTTCTAATCTCAAAAGTTGTACTCTGCAGCCGTGACCTCTTGGAATTCATTGGGGCATATGCAGAGTAAGGCAGTGAAGCACATTTTCTAAGTGGGACTCCAAAAATGCACTTTGGAAAAAATGCACATTTATATATAGCATAGTTGCAATCTTATCTTGGCTGTCTTCATTTACCTGGTTTTTCATGTTCTTAAAAAGTTTAAAGAAGAAAAATAAACTTTAGGGCACCCATATCTGAGGCTGAAGCTTTGTCTGTCTCCACCCTCCAGGATTCAAGAGGCCACCCTAAAATTCATCCCCACTTGTACGTAAGTTCCCAAGCTGGACGTGGGACTGGAGTGCATGTTGTCTGCCTCTCCCTCGATGCCCGGTACAGTGCTATCAGAGTTGAACTTGGAATATGACCTTTGGGAAAAGCAATAAAGAATCAGGCCAGCTTTGGGATATACCTAGTTCTTTTTCAAACCTTACTTCAAAAACATTCGGCCTCTAGTGCCATTTAGCCTTCAAAATTACTGCTTATGAAATAGACGATCAAGGACCTTAAAATCTCTGTCTGAATGGGACTGATTATTTAAGAAAAGCACCACAGGCACCTAGTAATGGGAACTGGTCTGACACTTTGTTCTGTGACAGAGGGAGCCAAAGAGCTTTTTATGGTAATGACCTGAGACCTTCTGCCCAGACATTCAACTCTTACCGGATCCTATGAGACACTTGGCCTGAGATATGAAACAGCAGTGGATTGTCATTTTTTTGTATCTTTGCTAGAATCTTCATTTCCTGTAGTACTCAATTATAAAAGGACACTAAGCCAAGTAAAACTTATTTTTTGTTTCTGCTAAACCTCTCCAATTTTAATGGCATAATATTGGGGGGATGGGGAGGCAATAGGAGACAAGGATGGCTCATTCACCCTCCTTCTCTCCTAATCATTTGCTTTAAAAAGAAGTAAAAAACGATAAGGACATGATTTGCATACATTCTTCTGTTTAAAGGATTACCTTACTCTAAAATGCACTCTTAGAATACATCTACAATCAGCCCTAGATAGAACAAAAGTGTGATTATCCTTAAAGAGTATTTGTGCCAATGTTTTCAGATTTTACTCTGAAAAGTTTATGTTGAGAATCCTTTCAGAAATCACTCTCACAGTTTTGTGTGTGAGGCAATTTAATACACATATGAACTCAGCATGAATGATAACCATGGTAAAACCAAGTCCTCTGTCTTCTGCTTTTCCCCAAGTCTACTTGATTCAATCTGAAATGAATAGTATAAAGTAATAATATATATTCTTCTCCAAGAAATATATCTTTTAAAATAATTAAAATGAGCTAACAGAAAAGAAGCAGTGATATTAAAAAAATTTTCCTGAAAATGAAAACCAGAAGAAATTAAAATTAGAATTCACCTGAGATACACTGATTATTCTGTTAACTAACTGTAATTTGTTGTTTTGGTTGATTTGGTTTGGTTTACCTGTATGGCTCTTTTTCTGAGGGGGAAAGAAAGGGCAGGAGTTGAAAGTTTGAATTATCTTGCAGCTGGGGAAAAGAAAGACATTAACTTTGAGTTCTACAAAACTCTGTCCTAAAATGAACCTGTCTTAAAATGCATAAATATCATCATTTACCCAAAATCCAAATAAAACCAGAAAACTGTTGTTATGAAGCACCCAGCTGTGGTCTTGCTTAAGCTTCAGGCCAAATTATATCGCTTTGTACATAGTAACTGCATTGTATCTATTTTTTTCCCTAACAGTGCCAAAACACTTACAAAGCATGCATTATCCTTCTGCCTTGACCTCAGTATAACCTGGTATTTGCATGTTGATGACCTTGGGCAAATGCCTGAAGATTCCTCTGGCCTCAACACCCTCTCCTATGTAATAAAGAAGTAGGATTAGATGATGTGTAAAATGTGTTTATTCTATTTTTGTATGATTAAAGAAATGTAAAGTCATCTCTGGTTTTAAAAACCTACTTCACAAATAACAACTGTATGCAGCATTATGATTTTCAAAAATATTAACAATTTAAAAGAATATATTCTCTTCAGTGCATTGCAAAGATTTTAGGCAAGTGGGTTTGTGTGAGAGCTTTTTTGTGCATTTCTTCTGTACCCATTCTCATAATGTTTTTTCTAAGTCAAGGGTTGATGTTATTGTATTAATTACATCATTTTTTTCAAATAAATTGTTCTGCATGTTTTTAATGTCATTGATGTATAACAATGTGCAATCAAAATGGCATCTCTATTAGACTTATCATTATTTGTTTAAAAGAACCAAAAACCATTTCTACTAACTTTTGTAGAATTTTAAAATATCACTCTGGACAACTAAGAAACTCCCTGGCCCTTCCACGCCCCAAGCTATTTTGCTAGTGGAAGGAAAGAAGTATCATTTACAAAGTGATTTGGTATTTGAATGTAGTAGAACTTGGTTAATAACTATGAGGCATGTGTGCTAAATTACCTTTACAAGAATGCTTTAATAACAAGATCACTGGACTAGAGAGAAAAAATAACCGTCAAGCTCTGAAATAAAAAAAAAAAAAATTAAAGAGAATCAAAAAGCTTTATGTGGAAGGCATTTTCTTTTTTAGAGGTAATTTATATGCTCAGTCTTTGTATCCATATTTCATTTATTCTGCTAGGTGAGAACAGAGGGTTCTCAAAGGTAGGGTAGTTTTAATTATACTCACAAACTTTAAAAAGAGAATGAATACAATAAGAGAAATTGAAGAAAGTCAGCATTAAAAAGGTAGTTGAATATAAAAGATGGGAAGATTGGGGTCATTGCCCAAAAATCAGAACTAAAATTTTTAAAAATACTGTGACTAAGCAAACCTTTGCATTATAATCTAGTTACAAAAATTCTTCATGGTAGCCCCCCAGGGATTATTAATTGACAGTTCCCTAAAACAAAATCATTAAAGACAAAGAACTTGATAACCAACGTTCTGTTAACAACGTGAAACACAGTATATGTTTTCAGCCAGAAAGAACACTGGGGCTCTGAACCACACAGAGATGGAAGAAATTATGAGGACAAAGCCTGCAAGCCCTGTGGTTACCTGAACACTGAAACAAGTCTGCAAATGCATATTTCATTTCTATAATCTAAAGTACATGGCTATTTTGAAACACATGTCTTTCCAGCTTTTATCCTGATTGGGCAATATGAAAACAGAACTTAAAACAATATGACTTATACAGGCAGGGAGCAAAGCTGCTCCAACCAAATATCATTGTGATAAGAATGTCTTGGATTAGACATCTTTTAAAAAAGGAGATATAACAGGGATGCAACAACCCCCTCAATTTCCCTTTTTACCATCAAATTAATGAAAACAGCTACACCAGAGTTTCACCATAATTAACTTCAAGGGCGATGCCATAAAAATCACATACTCTTACATTTTTCTGCTGCTTCTAGCTCTAATAATAAGATGCTTTTGATAAAACTCAAAGCAAAATGGTGTAACATCAAATTTTGTGTTTTAAACTGGGGGTGGGGTAGTTTCTCAAAGGTCTACAGCTTTCAATAGGATAATAATGACTACCCATTTAGGGAGTGCTAGGCACATGCCAGGAACCATGTCCTAGGTTTTACTTATGTTATCCCACTGTTTCCCTAGTGATTCTGTGAGCATCTATTTGCAATTTAGTTTTGAAAGGAAGCTTGTCAGGTGAGATAAGAAGGTCTACTTCCTCACACTCCAGTTTTCCATCTCTTAAAATAAACCTGAGAGTCCCTGGACCATTCATTCTCTCCCTCCTTTTGTAATTCTCTTCTCTATTTCTGGTTCAGTATCTCCATTCTCTCTTCAGATCTTTCAGCTAATCCTCTAACCATTCCTTCTCAGATCATCTACATGCTCATCTGCATACACTAAACACTGGCACTTCTCAGGGCTCCATCAGTAACTCTTTCTGTTTTCACTTTGACCAGGCAATCCTATCTATTCCCATGGGTTTATTTACTACTCCCACCCAATGACCAACTAGTTCAGAAATCTAGCTCTCGTATTTTTCTTGACCCACCTATCTGGTTGTCTGTACGTCCACTTAGATGTCCCAGAGACCCTTAGAATTAATATGTCTAAAACTGAATACATTATATACCATTACATTACACACATATTCTGTTGGCTGGTGTGACAGATTCTGGAGTTCTCTACTTGTAATAGGATTAAGCCCATGCCCTTTGCTAAGTGACCTCATAGTGGAATGGGAGAGTCTTCCTCCCCATATATGCAAAATTTCTTTCTTTCTTTCTTTCTTTCTTTCTTTCTTTCTTTCTTTCTCTCTCTCTCTCTCTCTCTCTTTCTTTCTTTCTTTCTTTCTTTTCTTTCTTATCTCTCTCCCTCTCTCTCTCTTTCCTTCTCCCTTCCTACTTTCCTTCCTTCCTTCCTTCCTCCTTCCTTCCTTCCTCCGTCCTTCCTTCTTCTCCTTCCTTCCTAGGAAATCCTTCTTTAGGATTCTTTTCAATCCTAATCAGAGTCTCCAAGAGGTATAATATGTTTGCAACTTGTTCTTCTAGCCAACAGGAAAACAGTACACACCAGGTAGAAACTGAATCCTTCAGTGTGGGTCCTAAAATGAAAAACCACATGGAACAGACTGGAACCTGACCTGTGATCTGGACTACAGCCACCAAAGCTGACTTGTAGTCCCACAAATCCAAAAGTGAGCAATAAATGTTTATTACTTAACTATCAAAATATTGGTGTTATTTGTTTTGCAGCCAAAGTTGACTAATTAGTTGACACCATTAGTATACTGGAAAATAAATGTGTCAGATTCCCTTAAGCCTTCTT